CGACATCCCAACACACGGACATGGATAACTTTCATTGTGTGCAATCCCAGTGGCACAGGGAGAGGGTAAGATTTACCCACGATCTGACAGCACTGTTGTCTACTCTCTACTATTTCCCATTATTTATTTTTATCTTTTTTTTTTGTTTTTCTTTGAGAAAGAAACTAGGACGGTGTCACTAAAAAAAAAAAAAAAAAACTTGGATAATTTTTTGATTCGACCCCATCGAAACAAAAAAAATAATAGCGCGATCAATTTGAAAAATTGAATTACGCGCGTAATTTCCTAACAAAAACTGCCATTTTGTTTTAGAAAATTGTAATAAATGTATCATTGTAATCCAATTATTATTATTATTATTATTATTATTATTATTATATTCAGGATAAAATAATAATTTTAATGATTTACATATCGAATCTTTGAGAAATATTCTTCGATATCATCCAATTTTAAAACTGTCTGTTTATTCAAACTACTTTACCATCGGCCGATAACTTCTTACCGACGACATTGATTGAAATAGCACGGAGGAATTAAATAAGAAAAAATCTAAAAAAGAAAAAAAAAACAAAAAAAGAGAGAAAAGATAAATCGTTGAGTCTTAAACATGCATTAAAGTCTTCGATCATGGATCGAGTCTTCCAAAAGAAGCCTCAACGATTAAGTAAATACGTATATTATATAGTAATATGCATATATACTTATGTATTACCTGTGAAAAATATATCTGCGATTCTCTACGCGACTATCGAAACTATTGTAAAAAAAAAAAGAAAAAAAAAAAAGGAATTACAACACAGAGGAAAATAAAAAAAAAAAAAAAGAAGAAGAAAACTGCCATTAATCGTAAAAACCAAAAAAAAAACGAGAAACTATCGAGATAAATCGTATACAGAGTGTGTTTAAAAAAAAAAACCAAAACTGAAAGAAGAAATGATGAAAGAGATAAAGAAAGAAGGATCATCGATTTATATAGGAAATACGAAATGAAAACAAAGAAAGATGAAATATTATAAAGGGAGATGAAAAATATTAAATAAAAACTAAGAAAAAAAAAAAAATAAAAAAATAAAATAAAATAAAATAAAATAAATAAAAATAAACGCATCGTCGTTGATTTGACAGCGACAGGATATAAACGCATGCATGTATGTAAGTACACGAAAAAAAAAATAAAATAAAATAAAATAAAATAAATAAAAATAAAACAGTAGCACCGACATGGTTTGCACACGTAGTTGAAAGAAGAAAAAAGGAAAGAAAATAATAATAAAAAAAAAAAAATAAATAAAAAAAAAAGAAGGAAAGAATCTTTTCCTTTTAAGAAAAGGAAGAATAAGAAGATGAAGAAAAAAATAAGCAACAACAACAACAACAACATGGTGGTGGTGGGGCAAGAATTATTTGAATCAATGAGGGGCCTTGATTCAACGATCTTTCTAAGCAGAATCCTTATAAACACGTTCTCACACATGATGATGATGTACTTTGTGTAATTTTATCGTTATTTATCATTTCAATAAAAACAACCACAACGAGATATCGTTGATAAGCTGCCCACGTTTTTTTTTTTTGTTGTTTGTTTGTTTGTTTGTCAAGTTTGACTTAACCGATTTGAAATGTACATTATATATATTTACTTACCACATAAGTATATAAATAAGGTACGTTCAAAAAAAACTAACATTGTAAGTGTAAAAGTAAGAAGTGTAGTTTCTGATGTATACTCATATGAGTTTTATTTTTTTTTTTTTTTTGAATCTTCTTTTCTTCCTTTCGTTATCTCGTGTCGCTCGTAGAAATACTTGAACTCGTTGAAAGAAAACTATCAAAAGTTTTCTTTCACGAATTGCTTCGATACACCGAAAACATCGCACCCCCCCCTTTTGGCACTTCGTTCAAGAAATAAAAAAAAAAAAAAAAGTAATAATAAAAAAAGAAAAAACAAAAAAAAAGAAGAAAAACATAAAAATAAAATCATTGTAATCATTGTGTCGACGAAAAATGGTCCGTAATCGTG